AGCTCCCCCCTAGGAACAACTGCAGGGGGCTGTTCACTCTGGAGCCTACAGATTATGAGGGAAAGTTCATGCCAGAGGCCCCTCCAAAGCCTCCCTTGGGCTGTTCACCCTGGAACCTATTGATTACATTGATTACATTTATGGGGAGCAAGTTGATGCTGGGGCCCCTCGGGGCTGCCTCCGAACTCGGCTTTGGATTGTTCACCCTGGAACCTACTGATTGCAGTGGGGGGGGGGAACTCATGTCTCTAGGGGCCTCCCGTAACCCTGCTCCTCACTGCTGTTCACTCTGGARCCTACTGAGTTCAGYGGGAGCTGATTTCTGCTAGGGACTCGTTCCTCAGGGCTCTTCACCCTGGAACTTACTGATTACCCCCTTCCCCCCCAGGGCTCTGCCCCACAGTCTAATGGGGGGCAGGCCGGCATCCCATTGAACTGGATTAAACTGGTTGCATCCCCCCCTCCCGCCCTGCTCCAGGGGGGATTCTCCAGTGGCTGATAGCAGGGTTCCAGTCCCGAGCCCACGGGGGTCCCAAGCCCCCTGGGCTCTGAGTCCCAGGCCCCCTCGGGTTTCGGTAGCAATAACTCCTCCCCCCACAGAGGGGCCATGTCCCCGTGTCCCCCCCCCCCTTGGCAATGTCGTGAGTGGCTTGATGTCCCCATTGCCCCCCGCCCCCCCACTGCCGCATGGTCCCCCTGCCCGGACCCGCTTCTGTCACCAATAAACTGCGTTTCTACGTGTGTCACCTCCCGTGGGGACACTGGGGGGGGGAGGACATTGGGGGGGACCCTATGGGCGTGGGGAGCAGGCGGCGGGGGGGACATCGGGTCTGCGGAATGGAAATTAGGGGGAGGGCAAGACCCTGGTGGGGGGCACAGAACATGGGGGGGGATATGGGGACCCTGTGACAAATTGGGGGGTCGGCGGGGGAAGGGGGGGACACCCCGAGCGCCGCCGCCGCCTCCCGCGCCGTCACCGAGAGGGCGGGGGAGCGCGTTTGGCCACGCCCCTCGGCAGGCCACGCCCCCGCCCGCCGCCGGGCCACGCCCCTTCGGGGCACCCGCGAGGGGAGGCGGGGACGTCACCGAGAGGGCGGGGGAGTGCGTTTGGCCACGCCCCTGGCCAGGCCACGCCCGCCGTCCGCGCGTCATCTCCAGGCCACGCCCTCGCCCGCCGCTAGGCCACGCCCCTCCGGGACACCCGCCGGGGGGGGAGGAGGGGCGGGGGGCGGGGCGGCCTCCCGGACGCCTGGGCCCCAGGGCGGAGCCCGCAGTCGCTGCCGGGGAGCGGGAAG